AAACGTTGTGATATCATTGTTTCATCTTGATTTGGAATTTGATCTACAAGTAATTGATAGCCAGGTGCTGTATTAATACGAAGTGTTTTTGATGGTTCAACACGAGGTGAAACAACACAACCAACTAAAAAACACCACATATATATGAATTTCTAGATCGATATGTACACTTACAACGTTCGTCGTAAATACGAGTCACATAATGTGGAACGGGTTGTTTCATTCGGAGAGAATGATAACGACGATTTTCAAGTGAATTATACGATAAGATACGATGGTCTACGTCTTTGGGAACACGAGTAGATATACTTCCTTCATATCGATAAAGTGGATCATTATTGACACGATATGAATCGAGGGATGGTGTCGACAAAATCAAATCACCTTAACAAAAAATAAATAAATAAGAGTCATTAATCTGTTGCTCAATTTCTATTTCATTTTTATTTTATCAGTAATAGTTTTAAAAGAAAAAAGCAATTATAGTTTTTTGCCACTATTAAGTCTACAAAAGTTAATTAACAAAAATAAATGAAACTTATTGTTTTTTATTACCAGCTGTATTGAAGTGAAGACCCGTGTATGGCTTTACATTGCTTGAATTTATACTTTTTGAATAGAGGACTGATCTAATAGAATCTAGATTGGACATTCTACAAGGACAGGCCGCTTTTCTTTTGTGTATAAATAAGTATTTTTGTGATTGTGCACAAGCGTGTGTATGTCTTGTTGATGAAATGAGATGCGGCCACTTATTATTGAGGTGGATGTGTGTCGATAAGATTTATTTCAATTCTTCGAATTGAGAATAGGGCATGAGCAAAAGAAAAGAAAGAAAAGGCAATTTGGCAGTGACTGTTGCAAAATTGATCAACACCTGTATGTGATTGTGTGCGTGTTCGTTGGTTGCTCAGCATCGCATTACATATTCTTGAGGGAAAGAATGAAAACATAAAATGTTTTCATGTTCGCTCGTTTCATACCTATAACTTTTCATACAACTAATTCCATCGGCCACCAAATAGTTCTTATGGATTTTCAACATCTTCTTTCAGATAAGCCAGACCCTAACACGAAAACATTTCTTTGAAAAGTCATTTTATACAAATTTATATAGAACGAATTTCTTAATATAAAACAAACAAACGCAAATATATTCCAGTGTTATTTTCATTCAATTTCCGTTGATAGTATAGTTTAAAAACAGTTGCATTACTTGGACTGACTTATCATTTAATTGTATCGTAAAATTATAATCAAGAGAGATTGAGCTATTGAAGAAACAAATGTCGTCAAAAAAGGTATTAATAGAGACACGAAAAAATGCGTGAAATTTAGTGGTAAACTGGTAATCCCATATATCATAGAGGTACATTATTGCATTTTTATTAGTTATACATACCATCCATTTGAAACAACAATGTCTTTGCTCCTCTGTCACTTATACATCTTATGCCTTCCTCCTTAACAAAACATCACTTGAATTTTATTAAGAAAGCCCTCGAAAAGAAACACTTCACTTCTATCTTGGCAAACAGAATATGAATATAGAAACGTATTCAAATTGAAAGGTTTCGCTTCAATCATATCTGGATGAAGTCTCTGTTTTTTTAAATATTTTTGGAAATATACTTACCAGCGTCCGCTTCTATACTTTCATACATGAACGTCATTGATCGAAATTAACGACCGATAACGAAAACATAACCACAAGTGATGTATTGAAAAAGATACTATAGAATACTCGAATAACCAAATATAAAACAACAAAAACATTAATGTTACTCGCCCATGAACATGTAAAAAAGAATTTAGTATTATATAGAACTCCTTTCGCTGTTACAAAAGCTATCTATAATGTATTAATTAAATATTATACTGAGGTTGATGACAGAACATATTACTCTGTTGATTATTTCACAAAGAAATATGTCAACATGAATAATGAGTTTCGGATTGCAAACTTTAGTAAAATCACTCAGTCTTGGATGAAGAGTCATTTGACACAGTTTTGTGATTAATTGTTTTTAAACAATAATATTTTAAATAATTTTTCAAAACTAATTCATGTTATACACATACAGTTATTATTGTTGAATTCAGTCATTTTCTGCTTTAAACAATGACCTGAAAATTGGAACCTCGCCGAACAACCGATGATAGCATTAATAATGTAAGTGATCACTGCATGGCTGCATAGATTTTTTTTTAAAAAAGAGTCAATAAATTTAGATACAAAGGAAATTTGTTAGTAACAACTCCACCCTTCCAAGAAAACAGTGTTTCAAAACATCACCGATATTATAAAACAATAAAAAATAACGAACCATAGTATGGAGTACAAGAAAAGTGAAAATTATGGTTAACCTTAATGCAAAAATAAGCCATTTTAGGGCTGTTTAATATACCTTTATGAAATGTCAGAATGATCATTCAAAAATGGTAAGTTAGGAATGTACTTTTAACCCTGTAGCGGGTTATCGTCATTGAATAGAAATGAAGTGCTTTTAAAAATAGTTTAGCAAGTCGTCAGCATGTCAGTAATTCGGTGTTTGATTTAAATTGCAAGATGCTATTTGGATTGAAGAGATGGATGAATATGATGTTGAACTTTAAAAAACTCGAAAATCTGATCGAAGGAAAATAATTCACGAACACACAGTTCTATCGCTGTTAGTAGTTCTTACCTTTGGTACTTGACAACAAATACAAGTAGTATCTTCACTTTTTGTACCATAAACAAAAAAAATATTTGGTTCACTTTATGCTCATATATTGTATGTTTTTGTGTAACGTTATTATCAGAGTATTTAAGTTTTTTCAAGTGTTTCCACGTGTTTTTATCTTAATAGCATTTGTCATCTTCTAAACTTTCTGTTATCAATAACTTAAGTAGTAGTAGAACTTTATCTATAAGTGAATCACTTTATTTCATTACTTAGACGGCCTTTTCTATCTTTGTGATTGTCCAAAGAAGTCGATCATGCGTTTTCGATCATGTGTTATAATATCATCAATATAAATATCAAATTTATTCGATAATCAAGTTGAAATTCCTTCAAAGAAAGATATACAAAAACTAACTTTAACAATATTATATACTTCATGACGAACTCTATACCAACACAGTTTCAATATATTCATCTTTGATGTTTAGAATTAGATACGTTTTAAGATGGATCATAATGATTACATGATGATACTTTGTTTGTTTCTTATCAATAAACATTCAAATAGACACTTACTTTTCATAATTACGATATTTGTTGGGTAGCTTTTTTTTCAACAATTGCATGGATCAAAAATCCCATATAGATAAATAATTTCTGAATTTTGACCAGATGATCATCCGTACAAAGTCAGTATGTGTGTATAGAGATGACTACTTGATACCTTTATTGATTAAACAGTAACAGATTAAGAATATTTTGTTTTTGACTCTCGATAAAAGAGGTGGCAAATGATTGAATACAACAAGTTCTTTACGACAAGCAAAATCTTAGGACAACTATGTGTGTTTGTAAATGACCGTTTTATATGCCCATGTCACAAAAAGCGGACCAGTTTTAGCGATAAACCGTGATTTGCCATTAAAAAAAAACCGTTAAGTAGGGAGCCGGTAAAATCGCGGTTAACTGCCGGTTGTTGCCCGGTTTCCATCACATGGGTGATTTTTCTTGCCATTCAATAGGCACAGTATTACGACGGTAGTTCATTGTATTGTAAATGGTCGGATACCTGACAATTATACTGTTTTGGTCATCGTTATCAGCTGTGTATGGCATGATAAAAGGTGATCGTAATGTTGCGCTTACCATACGTCAGTTTACGATTGAAAGCTGTGTTCAATGACAGCATACAGTACCTTTTTCAATCGTATCACTAACTGTAATCATCGTCTATATGACGAATTACCTTACAGGTAGTACGATAGTACACGATTGTAGTGGATATTCATATTAGAGAGCATGCTATTGAAACAGACGATCGAGATTTGACTGAAATTATTAAGCACATCAGCCGTAGTCTGAGTTTTGCATACCAGCTTTGTTATCTTATTATATGAGAAAAATGGTCTAAAAAACAATTCAGACTATATGTTATTGTTAACATTGAGATTTGACATTAGTTTTATCTTTTATTTTTCTTTTTTACAAAGAATAGTTTCATCGTTGAAAGTTAGTTAAGAGCAAATGAAAAATTCAAACAATAGATGATTCTGATTTTTGGAAGAAAATTTTTAGTTAAACAATAGTATTTTCTTATAACAAATATGAATTTTCTCATGATTGACGTTTCAGTCGAGTAGAAGAAAAATCCAAATATTAAAAACATGGAAAACTATTCATCCTAGCAGACTTTGTACAGCTGTCTACTTCACGAATAGTCATACTCTATTTTCTTCACACTGTATTGCTTCTTTCTAAATTAGTTAAAAACTTTTATGAATATAGACGGACCGAAAACTACTTGGTATGTTTATTAGCTCTAAATAAAAGGCTTTCATTTCCTTCTTATCGAACATCTTGTATTTGTCACATATATTATTTTTTAAATAAACATCTTATGATAAGCTGTATATACATTGTTGAGATGAGATAGACTTAATGCTGTGTTAGTAAATATAACACACTTGTTTTGTCATTATCTATAAGTGAATAGTATGTATATCCTTTGTTTCTTTTCCTTCTTTTTTTTTAAATTTCATCCTGAAGAGAGAAGTCCTTGAACTTTTCGATGAGTGAATGTCTAAAAATGTCGTACAGACTAAACAACGAAAGAAAAAAACGAACAAAATATGTTTTATTCTCGTTTATCACACGACGAACTTTAGATTTAGATCTCCCACACGTGCCCAAAGTGAGATGCGAAGGACAATGAATCAGAAGAGATAAAAAAAAAGAAGTAAGGATTAGGAAAGACAAATTACATAGTGACTATGCAATAAAACAATGAACAAAAGAAAACAGATCATTCATTGACTATTTATTTCTTGAATGATGAAGACAATTACAACAAAACAAAATTCATCCTATAAATGGGCATCTAGAATTATTGGCTTTGTTTGGGCATTTCTTACAGCTTGTTTTGCTATTCTCAATATATTTATATTTGTACAACCACAATGGATTGGTGATACTTTATCAAGTCCACGAGCAGGTCATTTTGGTCTATATTCATATTGTGTAAGTACAATATCTGATTATGAATTTGATTGTCAAGGAACATGGACAAATTTTGGAACAATACTTAATGCACCTTTTGCTGTTGCTACATTTTTCGTTGGCTTTTCTGTTCTACTCATTCTCATATGTCTTGCATTATTTATAGTTTTCTTATTTTTACGTGCTCGTCTTGTCTATTTTATTTGTGCACTAATACAAATGATTTGTGCTATTTGTTTATTGATTGCCGTGATTGTTTATCCAGCTGGTTTTGATAATGATACAATTCGATCAGTATGTGGACAAAATGTCAATGAATTTTATATAGATACTTGTCAAATTCGATGGGCATATATATTAGCTATCATTGCATTTTTTAATATATTAATACTTGCAATTCTTGCATTTCTTCTTGGTATGAAACAACCAAATATTGAAACAAAGCGAAAAGTAATCAATCAAAAACATGTTGTATCCAAATATGGTGAACTCAATGATGCATTTGAAGATCGAACATACTCTGAGCAAACAATACAACGACGTTGACTCTATTTTATTTTATAAACTTTCTTTTTTTTTTCAGATAATTAGACATGTACTTTTTTATTTCATAGTTATTAAATATGCTTAAAATGAAAAAATGAACATTTTTTGAATATTTTTGATCTACAGATTATAATATGAGTATATATTAACAAATATAATTATCTATTCAATTTTAAATATAAAACTCACTTTTGTATGATTCATATATATGAATTGATTTGTTTTTTAATAATGAAATATTAGTAACTATTTCATAGTAGTTTAAAAAAAAATATTAATCAGAACAATATTAGATAGAGAATAAAACTGTCAAACTAACTTATAATCATGAATCAGAGCTGTCAAACTGGTCTAGGTATACATGGAATCGCAAATTTCTTATTTGTGCTCGGCCTAGATTGTAATCATATTAGAATAAATTATTCGAAAACTCAAGGTCTGCAGACACCCTGAAAAGGTCAACATTATTCAAACTCAATCGAAGCTTAGAGTGCTTACACGGTTTCCCATATATATCAAAAAATGCTAAGGCAATTACTTCGATACTTGACACTACCTGAACTGGTTAGATAGTTTTCGAACCCGAACATACAGCCGAAATTCAGGTTTATTGCATGCCTAACTTAGAAATACTTTGATAAAGTCACTCGATTCCAGCAGCAAATGTTCGAACTGAACATCAATAAATGTTTGTAGAAATTAAATTGACGGACAGAAGAACTTTTTGAAATTCAAAACAATTGAATAGTCAATTTTTGCGTTCGTATACTATTGCAAAAATCGTGCAAAAACTTCTTATTATCTTATTTTAATGAAAATAAATCAAATGAACAACTGGAACTAAGATAATACAATCAATGCTTAGTTATAAAATTAATTGTATTGAAAAAATGAAAAACATCAATCAGCCTGTTGACAATGTTGTCATGAATGTATTTATCAATATCGAACTATAAAATTCCAAAAGAATATTGAATTTCAATAGTTTTATTTATTTAAATGAATACTTTCTTTCATCGACATGAGCTTATTTATCTCATCGATTAGATAAATTGAGCAAAACAAAAAACGTATAATATCTATCACTAATTAATTGAAGATTATATGCTTATATAGATATGTTATCATGGTTGAAAAATACGATATAATCAATTGTCTTTTCTTCGTCATTATTTATTAGAAAAATGGATCTATTCAATAAATTACGTACAAGTTTTCGACGAAAATCAAATGTATGTTCATTTTTTTTCGTAAAACTCGTTGTTTTTTTGTTATTATTATTAATATTAAAAAAATTTTATTTCAGAAAATTGAATTAACATTATCTCAACAAATTGAAAAATTATTTAATGAATCAAATAGATTAGTAATTAATGATCATCGTTTACAATTACTTCGTCTAGTATATGAATATCGATTACGAGAATTTAATGCATTGAATATTTCATTCAATGATTTAAAACGTATTGAATTTGAACAATCAATATTAAAAAGTCTACTTGCAATTACATCAAATTTACCAGCTAAATCACAATTAACTTTTCAACGATCATCACATTTTTATAGAACAATGCCAATAGCGCGACCTCTATAAACATATCAAACAATAAATAATTGACAAAAATTAATAAACAATTTCTTTTTTCATAATAAGCATTTTCTTAAAAAAGTCGTTGTAATATCTTCACGATTAATGTAATAAATTTTTTTTTCTCTAGCTAATATATTATAGTGCCATGTATTGATTGGTTCTTTGAAGTCCATTACATATTGCTGCCACAAGGAAATGACTACAAAGATTAAATATTGATTGAACGAAAAAGTTTCGGTATTATTTAAGTTCTTGATATATTTAGACTTCAATAACTGATTCAATTTATCTAATTCATTAGGGAATGAATATCTTAATCAATCATTACAAATCACTGTAAATTACTACGCATGGAGTTTTATACGTCATATTCAACCTTAAACGGCCGTATTGTGTGTCGTTATAATACGTCCATTATTATTGAACATATTCTTATCGTAAAGATGTCGTAATATTGCCGTATTCTATCATACATATGGTCATATTACTGTGCTTATATTCAGAGAGAAATACGAGCTGTTTAATATTTTGTATTTTACCAAATACAGATAGCATTCTTCAATCAAAGTGATCAAGAAAACATAAGTTCAAAGTACACTACTTAGAAATGCTGTTTATGTTTCGGTTTTGGGTTATTAAATATTTTTTTTTATAAGTATAATCCATTAAGAGGTTGTTAATAGATATTCATCAATGATTATAACTTCTTAGATTGATCATTTTCACTAGTAAATAATAGAATTATCCATATCATTGTCGATTTCATTCTAAGCGCTAGTCCAGTTTACATATATATTGAATGATACTTAGAAGTCAGTATTCATTAGAAATGATTGTTGTTAATTCATTTTTCTTTTTAAGTATATTTTTTAAGTTTAGAAGATCAATATTGATTAGTTTATGTTGCTTAATAATCATTTCTTCTTTCTATTTTATCTTATCCGACATTAAATTTTTATTTTTGTGTTTTCTATTACTTTATACATACAGCTCACTTAGTATGTGATTATTCAAGTAAAAGACAAAAGTTTATTCTGATATTATTTCTATAATATTAAAATTCTTCTTAATTTGTATTTGTTTTCTTCATTAATTATTGAAAGAGTTGACAAAAAGAATAATATCCATATAACGATAGATTTTTCTCGAGTATGTCTTAATAGATATAATCGAATATCATTTTTTTTTTCTTCTGTTAAAGAATATTAGATCCTTTTAGAGTCTTTGAATTTCTCTTGAAGATTCATGTTGTATCACCGGTAGTAAACAATCGGTATACTGTAAACAGAAAAATAGCGAACTGTTTAAGTATCAAGTTACTACCATTTGTTTTTATCCGGTTCGAATTACATAGAGAATTATTCAGATTTTAAAATCTATGTGTTCTTATAGGATATGACCTTCTTCAATACTTAAGACTATTAAATATACGTTTAAGTATTCTAATCTCTAATGATTGTCAATATAAGTTCCTTTGTAAATTGAATGGTAAAACATGTGAAACATATAAAATAGTTTTTCGCTAGTATTTATATAGACTTGTTTCTGTATTTTATTTGTAGATTGTACATATATTTGAAAATAGAAATAAAGTCATGGCACCCAAACAACGTAAAATAGATTTAAAACAAACTTCATCTAACACTCCGAAGTCAACACCAAGTAGTAATTCAAATATATGGATATTGGCTATAGCTTTTGCTGCACTTGTTTTTTATGTATTATATCAATCGGTTAATATTTATAGCAAAGATCGCATGTATAATGACTTTGAATAATATATATATATATATCCGTATGAAATCTATATGAATTCATCAAAACTTATCGTAAATCTCAATTTTATTATATTGCTTTGATGATATAATTTTCCTCATCTGTCTTGTGTGAATAAAATTAAAGTTTTTTCTTTTTTGTTGCTTTACTTGTTTAATTAATTAATTGTTTTTTTCTTGCATTATTCGTAAAAGCTTCTATAATATAAGATAATATAATTGAAAATTTGATTTGTTTGTTTTCAACAAAGAAAAAATTCCTTAACAATCAAAGATATTATTATTCAAATAAGTTTCATAGATAAGAATTTTTAAAATTAATAAATGATTAATGTTAAATATATTAAATGATTTTATATTTTAATAAGATCTGTATTGAAATACTTTATAGGTTATCTTGATAGAAATATATCTCATTAACATAATGAATTCAAAATAAAAAAAACATCTCTTACAATTGTAAAACAAAATTCAAACATTTGTTTATTTCAGATTGATCAAAATTATAATTTGATTACTTTCCAGCAATGAATTTTAGTTAGCAGCAAAAAAATATTTATTTTTCTATGGAATAAAAATGATAATAATCACAATAGATTAGACAATGAAAATTCAATAAATGATTTATATTAAACATCAATCATCTTCTGTTCTTGCGATCATTCATTCAAGCAATGAATCACAATTTTTTAGATTTTGATCAGGTAGCGTTCTACAAAAAAAAAAATAGTTTTTTCTTGATTCTTACTTTTATACAATTGTTTTTTTCTTCTCATTCTCCTAATAATTTCGGAATTCCTAATTCAGTTTCATTTGCAAAAAAGTATTACTATCAGATAATTTAACTTCTTATATGATTATACTATGTAAAGTGTGATAAGGCTTCAAATTAAAATAAATTTATGATTCGAAGGACTCTAGATTAATTTTTTTGTAAAAATAAGACGAAAAATTTCTGGAACGTCAATATCGATTGTTGTTCCTGCAGGACGTTATGATCAAGTCGTGTGAAAATATCATTCAAATTTCTTAATATGTTTACGATTTGTAAGATAATTAATCAAGATGTCAATTTATTTCGTTTGTTTTTTTAAAAGTATTTGTTCAAATTAGAATACTAACACTCTCAAGTCAAATGTCTGTGCATTGCTCTAAAGTTTGAATAGGAGAAAATTCTAAGATAGTAGCTGATGCTTAACATGTCGAAAGTATGTAAAATTTTTTGTGCTTATATTTTATGATAGTTTCAATACTATTATTTAATTTTTTGTAAATCCAAAATAAAGGAAACGATGCATTCGAGTTATCGATATGAGTACAAATATAAAAAGTTACACCTGTTAGGTACTTTTTTCAATTAGGTTGAATTGCAAATGACAGTGATAAAATTATTTTCTTAACTTACTTTCTTTTTATTGATTTTCTTTTTGCTGGCTTTTATCGATTCTACTCCACTTATATATATTTTCTTCATTCTTCAAGTTGAACTGCTTACGTAATAGCAACCTTGATTTGAAAACGTGAGCGTCTCTATTGGTCTTCGAAACAGAAGAGAACAAAAAAAAAAAATGAAAAAAGTAGATGTAAACTTCAACGAGTGAAAACTATACGTTAAATTGTCTGTGTGTATCGTGCCCATTCTTTTTATTTTTTGATTTATTACTTGACTACTACTGTATAGGTATTTTATCAAAGATAGTGTACGTGTTATTGTTTCAATAATAACAATATTTAATCACGTATTGAAGGGTATCAACAAGAAGAAAAAACATATACGTAATTTTTTTACCCAACTTATTATTTATTAGATTATATACGTTGTTTAATTTTACTAAAAATAGGTGTTTTAAAATATATACATTTACATTATACTTTTTTTTTTAAAATTATTATTAGAAATAATAATTTCAAACCAAGTTAGTTTTTTCCTTTTTGCTTTAAAAGAAACTTATAGATGACATTTTTATTTCTGTTTTTTTTTAACAATATAAAATCATGACTCATCTAAATAAATAATGAAATACGAACTTCTAGAATTGTTTATTCAATGTAAAAAATGAAAAACAATATTTTACTGAAAACAAGAAAGAACAAAGTAAATTATTGAATTTTTCTTCTATGTTTCGATTATTTTATTTTACCAAGAGTTTTTAGTTTCTATTTCAAGAATTAGTTTGATTGTAGTTATCTGTTTAATTAAAATAATATTCATATAAATATTTTATTTGATTTTTTTGGTTTTAGATAGAAATTATATTTTTTTATTGTGTGAATTTATTTTTACTTTATACTATTGAAGAACACGGGTATGTTCGTCAAAAAAGTAAATTTATTTTTTACTAATATTTATATATATATATATATATTATATTTATATGATTAAAGTTTTATTTAATAGCACAGTAAAGAAAATACTAATCCATTTTATGGAATGGTAAAAAATCCAAAAGATAAAAAAAGTTAGATATTACATCTTAAAGAAAATTTTCTTTTTCATTCGTTATTATCTATTAGAAGTCATTGATGACAATAAGTCATCATCTATTTTTGATAGTCCTTGTTCAAGTGTATCATCAATATCACCTGTAAGTTCTCATTCAAATTTAAACAATTATTCTATTTGAACTTTAGGATAAACAAGATGTTGTAATAATTCTTGATGATGATGACGGTGAAAATGATACTACAATTGATGAACAGTCAAGTATTGATACTGACGAAAAGAATGATAGTTTAATTTTCAAAAATTTAATTGGTAAACTTGAACTTAATAGTGAACTAATTGTTATAAAGCCAAATTTACCTATACGAATATGTACAACAGCTGTAGCTTATTCAAATCTTCAAGATACTCATATAATCATGGTAAATCAAATAAAGAGTTATTCATAAAAAAAATAAATAAAAAAGATCTCTATTTCTTTTTTTGTATTGAGGTTCATAATCCTCGTATGTCAACTTCTGAATGTATAACTAAAAGACAAGCGTATATGAAAGAATCTTGTTCATCATTTCTTGTACCTATACGAACACGTATATTTCATCGTTCATTATCACTACTTGGTTTTATATATGAAATACCTTGTCCAATAAAAAATAATAATCGATATCTTGTTTTATTTGACAATTTTACAGCATCATATCATTCACATTCAGAATTTCATCTTTGTTTATGTCAAGATTTTCGAAGACATATTTCAAATATTGATTATAAAGACTTACAATTATATTATCAACATGCTTTTCAAAATTTAAATCTATCTATACGTTCAAATTATACGATAGATGATATAATTCGTGTACGAAAATTTGGTGCTCAATATCATAATGTTCGTATTATTGATATTGATTGTTCATTAATAAAAATTTGTTTTTTTGAACGAAAATCAAAAAAAGAAATATGGATTCATTCAAATTCATCAATTATTGAACAATCTCAACAAATATCACAAATAACAACATTAATGATTCCACCATCACCACAAACTCCAACTGAAGATATCAGTTGTTCATATTCTGATTTAACACGATTACGAAAACGAAAAGATCATAATGATAATACAAATGAAGGTATGTTTCAAATCGATTAAAACTTAATTATCTGTTAGATATATATAAAAAAAAAAAGTAAAACGAATCTTTGAAATATATGTCTTACTAAGCATCAAGTTTTTCGAATAATTCTTTTTCTTTGTCAATAATTGTTAGTGAGTTTCAAGACTATTATAGAATGAATTCAATTTTGTTATTTATAGAATTGAACTACAATGTTGTACAAAAAAAAAATTATAACGAGAAATACTGAACATAGTTTCATTATATTCAAAATTTATTATTCAAGAATCAATGTGATTCGAATCGGATCAAAACTATCGATAGATCGTTCGGTATAATGTTTGCTTTACTGACGGTAGTGCAAACAAAGTCTGTCTTTAGATACACACAAAGTTTGGAGAAAGTTTGTCGGACATCTATGCATTTACTATACAGTTTCATTGTCACAATTGGCTTTGAGGATCGATTGATATATAGTATTTTCAAAAGTGTCGCGCTATTGGTATAAAACTTATACTGAAAAGTCAATTTTGATAAGGATCTAAGAAAAATTCATAGTATCGAGTTCTTTTAAGCCTTTTTTTTTGATTCAGTAAGGCAGATTTATTTCAAAAAGAACTTATCATTGGACGACATTTCTCTATTAGTAAAAATATCGATTTATCTGCTAAGACATATCTCTATTTTGTCTTGTAATTCAAGAAGTGTTGTAATTCTAGAATTAACATTCATGAATATTTTTCAGACTAGATAAGTTACCTTAATTATAAATACATTCCTATGTTTGAAGAAAACGAAATGTTTGAACTTTTTCATTAAAGAAAATGACTTGATTTTACAAAATCATCATAATCGAAAAGAACATATATATAAAATTCATTTTTTTTTAAATAATTTTATATAAATTACCTAGGGCAATCGTTACGAAATACCGTAACATTACCGTAAGGGGTCATTATGTTATGTCGTCTTGTATCTTGATATCACACCTAGTATTACTATCTGTATATGACACTGTATTCTCATTGTAAAAGTGTTGTAATTTTGTCCTATTCTATTATACATAGAGTCGTATTACTAACCTTGTATTTACATAGAAATACGACCATGTTAATATGCCGTATTTCAAGGTAAATATATTGTATTCTTCGATCAGAATATTAATATTAGAAACTCAGACATATTGAATTTATATTTTAGGTAGTAAAAAATTTCGTGATAAATCTAATACTAAACAATTATCAATACAATATCAACAAATGTCTTCATCATCTATATCTAAAGAACAAATATCAACAATATCACGTAATAATATTGTAACAACTTATTATACAAATATACTTTTACCAAAATTTCGAATACTTAATGCTTTACCATCAATAACACATAAATGTAGTCGACAATGTGTTTTAATAGCTGAAGAAAATTTTTCTCCAAAAAAAATTCAAACAAATCCATTTTTACTTCCATTTGAATGTAATTGGTCAATTGTTGATAGTAAACCTCGTGGTTATAAAACACCATGTCGTCGTATACTTTATTCACTTGATGATATTGAACAATATCTTCATTTAACACAATCAAAATTATCAATAAAATTTTTTATTGATGGAGTTTTAACACGTTTTAAACCACCAATTGATGATTATGATAAAAAATTTATTATACTTAATGATCTTTCAAAAGGACAAGAAAATGTTGAAATATCTGTCTATAATGATGTTGATAATGATAAACCAGATAATTTTACATATATAACACAAATTCAACCTATTGATCATCGAATTTCTGCAGCACTTAATGATACAAATTCAACATCATGTTGTGACTGTACTGATAAGTAAGTTAATTAATCTCAATTCTTTCTCTCTATCAGAAATCTATCTTAATTTCGAAACTATTGATCTCTATCAAATCTTTCAGTAGATATGTGTTTAAATCTATACAAAGAAATTTCACTCCAAAATATTCAGCTATTCAAGAATAGTTCTTATATGAGAAGGGACCAAAAATAGGCACTCGCGCTTATTTTAAAATTCTTTACTAAATCGAATATATACAAAGGTTGAATTGACGTGAGAATATAGTCAATACTTACCGTTACAACTTAACAAAACCTAATTTTTAAAAATTATCTATGGAAGATAGTTCATTTTTCATGTCGCAGATTTAAAGAGAAGCTAAAAAAACTTGGATGACTGAAGTTTGAAGACCATTCTTCATATTATGAGTCAGGGGTTTTAATGGACTAAGGTCGGATCAAAAGTTGATAACCCAATGTGTTGCACCTCTTTCAGCTCAGTACCATACATTGAAACTTTTGTTGATATAAAAACAATGAATGATAGTACATTTGAAAATAGAAAACTTCAACTATTCAACCATATGATTATGTCGAACTTTCATTTTTATTCATTTTTTTTTCAAAGTTGTAATGATCGAATGAAATGTGCTTGTTTTCGTAAAACATTAAAACAAGCTCAACTTAATCAAGATCCATTAGTTATTGAAAAAGACAAAAATCGTTATACACTTGCATATATGTTAAAAACAACAGGTTATCAACGAAAACGTTTACTTAATCCAATATCAAGTGGTGTATATGAATGTAATTCAAAATGTTCATGTCATCGTGAACATTGTTCAAATCGTCTTGTACAACAAGGTTTATTTGTACATTTACAATTATTTAAAGATAAATTAAAAGGTTGGGGTTTACGTGCATTACATGATTTACCACGTGGAACATTTATATGTGAATATATTGGAGAATTATTAACATCAGATCAAGGACATGAACGTGCTCAAAGTATAGATGATAAATATCAAACAAGTCTTGATTTAGTTAAACAAGTTCGTTATGAAATTAATAATGAAGATGGAGATGATGGTGATATTGATGATGATGATGATGAACCATATGTTATTGATGGAAGTTTATTTAGTAATTTAGGAAAATATTTTAATCATTCATGTGAACCAAATATGTTTATACAAAATGTATTTATTGAATCCCATGATCTTCATTTTCCCAATCTTGCTTTATTTACTCGAACACATGTTAAAGCTGGTCAAGGTATATATCTATTGAAATTTTTTTCAATTAAAAATAGAATTAAAAGAAAAACATATCATAGTCTAATAAATTATATATCATGAAGTTTTAATATATATGTTTAGAAAGTTAAACTGTTAAACATTGAACGATATATATTTTATATAGAAAGTACTCTCTCAATGTCATATCAATCTAATTATAAATTGATCCACATAATAACAGACGGCGAGTGTTCTATGATGTCTAAAGATGTTTGTTACTGTAGAGCTTTGACGCCAAACTATGACTGATTTCCTGGACTTTCCAATCATGTATAAGTAATTCTCGAAAAATCAAATTATGGAACTTTCACTTCAACTGTTGTCTTTAGATAAGAAGAGTAACTCGTAGAAACATGTCCAAAAAAAACCCGAGTTCATTTGAAAAAGACAATGTCTTGACAAAGGCATATTCTTTTCAATCAGTCTTTTATCCAGGTTTTTTTCTCCGGAGGGACGATTTGAAATTTCGTGAGGGCGAAAATTTTTTTCGGGAGGGGGCAAGTCATATAGTTCATCATGCAATGATCGCGAGTCTCGGAGGAGCGAACCCGATTTTCGGGAGGGCGTCGCGCCCTTCCCCGAGCACTCCTCTGGATAAAACATTGTTTTCAATTGAAACTTTCAGGATATGCTAAGAATCATTTAACGTATCTATAGGCAAAATTTTAGATAGAAACTCGGTTATTTGATTTTTTTTGAAAAGTATTCTAAAATGGCCCAAAAAAAATTCCGTAAATCGATTATAACTCAACCTCAAAGGTTCATAAGGATCAATCATTTTACACAAATGGTACCGACATTAGTTTGTTCTACTTATTCTTTTTTGCTCTGATTATCTTATAGAGAATATGTAATAAAACTTTGTTGAAAATACATAATGTCAAGTATCGCTATGCACAGATGAAATGATATGACAACTTGACAGTCCAGTATCGACATATATTTCAGATCGAACAGTTCGCCAGCTCAGTTCGATTCTATATTTTGCCCTTTTGAACTTTTACCAATTCTACTGAGACCTACTTGTGGTTTCAATATGAGCTCAAACAGCGGCTGTCACTTGGATTAATTACCTCATATTCATATTAATTTCTTAAGGGAACGCGATAGTCTTCTATTCTAAAGAATTATTCAAAAAAATAACGAAAGAATCTTCTATTGCAAAAAAGAGTTTTAATTAAAATATGAAAATAGAATACATTGAACAACTGTAAATAATCTTTCAATAAGAACAATCAATATGAATATACGCATTCTTGCATAGAGATACAAATATTAGACAATATTTTTTCTCGATAGATAATTAGTACATTGTTTGTTTAGCCATTCTTGCTAAGTTTCATAACCTTATCATCAAGATTAAATAATCAAAGAATGATATTTTCTATTATGCGTTGTCTAATCTTGTACAAACTTCATACGTACGATTAATGATAGTCTTTAACAAACGTATATCAAGTGTTAATTAAGAATCATTAATTTGATTTTTGTTTTTTTGTCATCTGAATAATAATAGAACTACACTTACTTTAAATAATTAAAACAACAAAAAAAAAATGAACATTTACTTTTCTATCTTTATAAAACAAAAAACAAAAAATTAATTTCATTGTTCTTTTCAATTAAAAGTATTGAATTACAATTGTTACTTAACAAAGATAACATATCATGTATAATTTCATAGTTTATATAACATTTAAAATTATCAATTGAACAATTCATTTATTAACAATATATTGATTTTTGTCTGTTTTAATTAATTTTTTTGTTTTTGTTTTAGAACTTACATGGCATTATAACTGTGAACTCTTACCCGATCGTGAAGTGAAATGTTTTTGTGGATCAAAAAATTGTCGTGGTCGAATTTTGTAAAACAAAACATAGTCAAGTCAGATTAAATTATATATTTATGTCGTATTTTCTTGACATATTTTGTTTGTATATGTCCATTTTCTCTGTTTTCTTTAATTCCATTCTTTTTTCGGTTTCATTTTTTCTCTTTGGATTGTATGTGTATTTTTGATATAAAAAATTAGTTCTATGATGACTTGTGTTTATATTCTTCTCGGTCAGATTCGTTTGCTAACTAATTGAGAAGAACAAGCCAAAAAAAAAATGAATGACTTTTATTATTGTCTATATGTTTTATGACCTTCGATGTTGAGTGTGTACAGTTGATAAGCTATTAATGTTGGAGAAAGGGCAGTCAATGGAATAATTCCATACATAGTTGCTTGTGTGTGAGTATTAAAGAATAAGAGAGAAAGTAATTGGTCTTGATTCTTTATGGCAGCGCGATATTTGTTTGTTCTTCTATTCTAACGATTACGCAAGTTATACAACTACATAAAACGTTGATTACACCCACACACACGCATATATATAATATATATATATTATATATATTTATTAGATTTCCTAGTGCTTTGTTAAATTTCACTTGTATGTAACTTGTATATGTTCTCAAGAGATTAACTACGTAGGAAATAATGGAGTAGAAAAATATATATTTTTGTTTTCTTTTACTTATATAGAGATAAGAAGGTGCTGACAATACGTTAAGTGTAGATGAGGCGATAGGAAATCTTCTAATTGGTCAGTTTTCTTTAGAGAGATAAGCTCTCTCAATAAAAACTACAAGACAAAAATCATTTATAGCTTGATAATAACCTGATAGCACATGAAGTTTTACAATTCTTATTGTATGTTCCCTAGTCTTATTCTTTCTTTAGTGTATTCGTAATAAAAAAATAGAAGAAAAGGTCGATGAGCTTTTGAATCTTTCTTTCTCTTCTCTACACTTAATTATTTCCATCCCAAATATTGACTTGAGTTGAATAAGACATTTGCTCGACTAGATTATTTTGTTATCTAATCATATTCATAGTTATAATTGAATTCATTCTGTTTTTTTTTTTTTGTAAAAGATTTCTTTCATTCTATAAATCAAACAAATGAATCTTTTTTTCTTTTTTATTTAAAACTGGCAACTTCATCTGTTCAAAAACAACAGCAAAATGCTACGAAATTGAATACTAAAAATACTGTTCTTTCATCACTAGCAATGCCAATAAACACATCTTTATCATCATCACAATCAACAGATGAATCAATATTTTCAACAATACATTTATCAAATATTTCAAAAACTAAAAAAAATTTATTATCACGTATGATATCATTAAAAAATTCATCAAATAATAAAACAACCATAGGTCGTTCATATAATTTACGTTCATTTGAAATTACACATGATCATTATTCAATTGTTATACATTTTCTTGATGATAGTGAACGAACATTTTTTATTGATGTAAGTTAAATAGATGTATTTTGTTTTTTTTTTGTTTCATTTTAATAAAAATAAATGTGGAAACCTCGGATTTAAATCCGAGAGTTATGTGTACTTCAAAAAGTAAATGAGACAGATGAGTTATTCTAGAATGTGGGGACATAAAAACTATCCTGGCAAACCTTTTCTATAAACACTTGATTTTTATTGGTTACTGATCAACCAATGGGATTTCGAGGCGAATGGAGCACAGATTCGAGTTCTCCAGCCCAGAAAACCTCCAACTATCATCTCTGTGATCGTAAGATAGAGCTCGAATTGTGGATCAATTAGAGCATGGACAAGAACAGAACCGAATTTCGTTTAATTATCTTTGTGATAGGTGAGTCAGCCTTCTTATGTCTTTATGTTCTATAAACCATTTTGTAGCTCTTGAAATTCTCTATCGAATGGTATATAATAGTTGGGGTTTTAGTTGACTATGATAGGAAAAGTCTTTTACGAAAGCGGCGATGGGTCGATTTTCCCATAGGAAGCCATAGGAACAAATGGGTATTTTTGCAATAACTCAGGAACGGCTCGGCCGATCCTTCTCATCTTCGAACTCGACCGAGATATTGTTAAGACTAAACTATGTAGAAAATTTCATCGCGATCGGACTCTCCTTTCAAAAGTTATCGTGTAAACGGACGGACGGACGGACGGACGGACGGCCGGACGGCCGGACACACTGACCGATTCTAGAAGTGTACTCACTTTTTGAGTACACAAAAACAGAAAGCACAATATAAATTGTTACATATTTTTTATTTACTAGCGTCGTTGTAAAGGAATTGATTTATTAAATCAAGTTTTTGATTATTTGGATTTATCAAATGAAAGAAAATATTTTGGTTTACTTATTGAAGATTTAACACAAGATTTTTCATATCGTTGGTTAGATTCAACAAAAATACTTAAAAAACAATTAAAAACTAATTTATTATCATATCATCTTTATTTTAAAATACGATTTTTTCTTACTAATCCATCAACACAAATTGATGATGAATTTACTAAATATTTATATGTATTACAATTAAAAAAAGAATTATTAAATGGAAAAATCTTATGTTCAAGATCAACAGCTGCAATTTTAGCTAGTTATATTATACAAAGTAAATAGAATACCATGAAATCTTTATTTTCTATCATACACAGACGATTATTACATACATATATATATATATATACATAGGTGAACTTGGTGATTATAATATAAATGAACATCAACAAGGATATTTAAATGATTTTCATTTTGTACCATTTCAAAATTCAGATTTTGAAAAAGAAGTACAACAATATCATAAACAACATAAGTAAGAAAAAAAAATAAAAAATTGATTATTCAATGTAATGAAATTTTTCAAAGTGTTGTTGATGAGCGTCTTATCATGTAAATGTTGTGTTAAAATTCTAAAGACTTATTAAAAACATGTTGATCAAGTTTTGTTCTATATCTGCTCTTGAAGCAAATTCTAATCATCAGAATTTGTCCCCAGGTCACAAAAACCGGTAAGGAGCCGGTAAAGCGAGAAAAACCGTCGGTTTACCGTGGTAAACCGGAAAAAAGTAGCGGTTCATCACGATTTTTCTATGTCACGGAGCCGGTAACCGGACCGGTAAAACCGCGGTTAACCGCCGGTTTTTGCCCGATTTTCATCACATGGATCGTATCCGTGTAACAGTGTCGAAGTCTTTTCTATTGAAAATTACATCTTTTATTTCTTTTCAAAAATCATATTCATTCGTCAGATTTTGACTGCTCCTATATTCGAATTATTTTTTTCTAGTTTGTTTCTCAGATGGTACATTTATTGTTAACTGCAGTATATTGTCAAGGCATCCATATTCCTCTGATAGATTTATTCTGTCAAAAGTTGATATCTGTTCAGATAGAGAATAGCTAGATAACATATAAAAATCCCTGATGCATATGAATGATAGATTTTTTTTAATTATCTTCTTTTATTAGAGGTCAATCGGCAGCTGATGCTGAAAATAATTATCTTCGTGTTGCTAGTTCGTTAGATATGTATGGCGTTGAATTACATAAAGCATCTGTTAAAGTAAAAATATTTTAATCTTGAAATATTTATTTTCTATTTTAATTTAATTAGATATCAAATACAAATAATAGTATATATAGTTCTATTGTTGAATTATATGTTGGTGTTTATGCTATTGGAATATCTATCTTTCAAAATTCAGTTAAAATTAATACATTTTCATGGTAAAACAAAAAAAAAACATACATTAAGAAATATTTTTATTTTATTTTTTGTAAATAAAAAAAAAAAAATAGGGAACAAATAACAAAAATATCATTTAAACGACGAAGATTTTATGTTCAACTTATTAAAAGTCTCGTAAGTATTTATTTATAAATATATTTATACTAAGAAAATAGATTGCAAATTAAACTGTCATACTTGACGCATTTTAACTTAAGATGAACAATAATAAATTTTGTTAATAAAGTTTTTTCTACTTCTAATAGGTTTTAAATAGATATATAAACTGACTAAAAATAATGATGTAAGTAGTGAAGCTTACTCGAATCAAGATTATGGCTGTAAATAATTCTCTCAGAACCTAAGAAAAAAATCTATTTGAACTTGAAATATGCTTGCACTTCATTGACCTTTCAATTTATTGTTAAGCTTCTCTTAAGAATTTCTTTTCAATCACTAGACAAAAGAACAATACTTGATTTTTAAGTAATTCTAGTCATCGAAATCAGTTGCTTCAATCTTGTGATTTTTGCTATGTTGATTTTATATAACTAGAGAGAGAGAGAGAGAGAGGACCGTATTTATCTATATGGTTGATCTATTATTTAGTAATTTACATTATCATAGTCAATCTTATATAAATGGAACTATTTCTTATATGTTTCATCTCTATAAATACCACTACGTTATTTCATACATCAATTCGCGTATTGAAGCATTATATCTTGAATGTAGAATTATGTTCTGTACTGCTTGAATAACAATAAAGAAAGATTCGAAATATTTTTTTGAGAATAGTCAAAGAAGAAAATAGTTTATTTCAATGGTCGAAATCAGTTATTTTTAAGATGATAATAATTTATTTCATTAATTAGAACCATTCATAATGACAAAATCATTTATTTTCTCCTTGTTTTGACTGATGAAATCTTATATAAGAAACATTAATGTAGATATAAACTCTCTGTCTTTTGGCAAATTTTGCTAATTACATTGACTTTGAGCAAATCCAGATGATTGTGAAGGACTACAAAATGATTCTATATTATTGATTCCAATCGTACAGAATCAACAATTTATTTTTGTTTTTCTTTACCATTAAGTCTTACAAAATTTTCAAAGATATTTTCATGCTAATAAATGACTTTGCTTGTAATTGATTCATCATTTATTTAAAAAACAAAAATCGATGTAAATTGATCTGATGAATTAATCATAGATTATTATGTTAATATTAATTCATATATAGAACTTCATATAAAACTTAAACTTATAATAATTACTACGACATAATGATTAAACTATTAAAGAAATTTTTTTGAATTGCATTTGTCGTTTTTCTTTTTTTTTTGTTATACTATAAATAATTATTTTTCTTTAGAATTCATCTGATGATAATTCAATAGTTTTTACATTACGTAATTATCGTTGTTGTAAATATTTATGGAAATCATGTGTTGATCATCATACATTTTTTCGTTTAACAACATTACCAAAAACTAAAATTTTTCAATTTACTAATAAACTTCGATATCAGTTAAATTTCATTTTTCTTTTTAATAAATATTAGATTTTTATTTTTTTGTTTTAGTACGGATATTATACCAAATGAATTATTAATGAAAACAAATGAAAAAAGACAAAAAATATTTCAACGGTTTACTGAAATATATTGATTTTTTTAATATTATAAATTTGATCTATTAATTTAGAGTATCAAGTCGTCGAACTATACGTTCAAAAACTATTTCATCAACATTACCAATATCATCTCATAATAATTTTTTTCAAAATAAAAATTCAAATTTACAAAGCGTTTTCTTTCTTTCATCATCAAATATATCAATATCAAAGTCAGATAAAATTTTAAATCAACAATTATCATCATCATCATTAGTATCGCCACCAAAACCTCCACGACAAACATCATTCAACAATAGTGTACTTATTGAAGCAAATGAATATAAACCAAAAAATGCAATATTATCTAAAAATGATTATCAAGATAGGTAAGAAGAAAATTGATTGTTTTTTGTGTGTATTATGTTTATTTATTAATTAATTTGAAACGATTGATACAAGAAAAATCATTGTACTAAGAGTTTTGCTCACTATTTATGTATATCGAGATTTTAACACGATAAAATAGTCAAATCGAAATTTTCTTTGTAGAAAAAAAATACAACAATACTTGTGAAATGGATATAAATAATTATTTAAAAAGAAAAGAAAAAAGAATTTCTATTCTTATTTTAGTCTTCAAATATCAAATCAAAAACTCCCATTAAACAATTCACCTAATGTTAATGAAGTATTATCTATTGATCCGAATGCTATTCTAATAAAACTAAGACCTGATACTGATGGTCGATATGGTTTTAATATTAAAGTAGAGTTTTCTTTTTTTTTAACTTCTTATTTTCAAAAGATAAATTAATAATTTGATTATTTTAGGGTGGAAAAGATAAACAAACAGCAACTATTGTTTCAAAAGTAGTATTAAATACGTCAGCAAGTCGAGCATTACTTCATGAAGGTGATACTATATTAGCAATTAATAAGATTGATATTCGAAATCATTCACATGATGAAGTAAATTGAATCGAAAAACTTATTTAAAAAAAAAGAAAAGAATCGTATTTTTCTTATCGAAAATTTTTATATTTAGATTATTAAGATGATTCGATGTTCACGTGAAAGACTATCTGGTGAATTAGAACTTCATATAAAACCTTGTAATGAGAAAAGTTTATTAAAAGAATCATTACAAATACTACGTAATGATATTTCATTAAATCGTTTGATCGAACAATATCGAGTAAGATTTGATTTATCTTTAAAAATAAATAATCGTTTATTTTTTTAATTTTAAACTTAGACACTTCAGCGTCATAAAGATGGTTTTACATTTGACATAGGTCGAAGTGAATGTAATTATTATCATAATCGTTATAAAGATGTATTACCTTATGATCAAACACGTGTTATACTTAAAACGAATTCTGAAAATGATTATATTAATGCAAATTATATTAATGTAAGAATAATTTTTGGCTTTTCAAAATTTTGATTTTATTAATTTTTTTTTCAGATGCCAATTAATTCAACAGATATTATTAATCGTTATATAGCTACACAAGGACCATTACCAATAACATGTGAACCTTTTTGGAAAATGATTTGGGAACAACAATGTAGTTTAATTATAATGTTAACAACTTTATTTGAAAAGTAATAAATAATTAATTTTTTATTTTAAGAAAATATTTCGTTCTCTCTTTAACTTAGTGGTCGAATAAAATGTCATCAATATTGGCCAAATATATTAGAAACAATTGATTATGATTTATTTACAATTCGATGTTGTCGTGAAAGAAAAGAAAATGAATTTATTTATCGTGAATTTTTAATTTTAAATAAAGAAATAAATGAAGAACGAATTGTTTATCAAATACAATGTGAAACATGGCCAGATCATGATATACCTAATAATTATTCTTCATTTGTTGATTTTGTATTAGAAATTCGTGAATTAAGAAAAGCAAATAAACATATTCCAATTCTTGTTCATTGCAGGTAAAATTCAAAATTAAGATTAAAAAAAAAAGCAATTTCAATTTTATTCTTTGTGTTTTTTTTCTTCTTAGTGCTGGTATTGGTAGAACAGGTGTATTAATTTTAATGGAAACAGCTTTATGTCTTATTGAAGCAAATCAACCTATATTTCCATTAAATATTGTTCGACAAATGCGTGAACAACGTTTAGGAATGATTCAAACAGCTGTATAAATTAAATTTATTAAAAGATTAATAAACATTTTTGATGTTTTTTTTTTTTGAATTTAGAGTCAATATCAATTTGCATGTGAAGCAGTTCTTTATGCATATGATCATGGATTGATAGAAGTCAATAGCAATTGATTGATTATTCATTTGGACTTCGTTTTTTTTTCTATTGTCAGATAAATTATGTGCTCGATGTTCAAGTATAATGCTCAGCAAGAATTCAAAGATTGAACAGTCTTTTGTCGTTCAAAGATCTTGTGTTTTCTTTTTTTTTGTAGACTTTCTTTTTAATAGAGTGTATTGATAATGTTTTTTTTTTTTAAATTGAATTATGTGATTCGTTTTTTTTTAAATTAAAAATATAGCAAATCAGAAAGCAATGATTTTTATGAAATTCTCCTAATTTTAGACAAAATGGTTTGTACAACAAATCTGTTCTTGAATAATTTTGTTTTAGATGTGAGCATGTATTTATTAAAATTAATTACTATTGCTCACTTTCACTAATTCATGTCTAATTATTTTAATTATATTACTCGATCTACTACCGGTTCTATTAAATATACCGGTACATCATTTTCTTGTTATTGCATAAATCATCGTCGATTTTATGCTGATCGAAAATCAACAAATCATTATGATGCACTTGGTGTTAGTTCAAATGCTTCTACAAAAGAAATTAAAGCAGCTTTTTATAATTTATCAAAAAAACATCATCCAGATGTAAATCCTCATGATAATAATGCTTCACATAAATTTAGTACAATATCAAATGCATATGATATATTAAGTGATCCAGTTAAACGAAAAGATTATGATAATGAATTATCATCTCGAATATCTCCATCTGATCCATATGTTACATATGATCGAACAAGTACATATGCACAACGAGCACGTGCTCATCGTCCATCAACATGGAAACCACCGCCATCATCAAAAAATCCTAGTGGAGGATTTCCAGGTGCTGAAAATGCATTTGGTAATAGTCGTAATACAACCTATGGAACATTTGATAAAGAATATTATGATAATGTATTTGGTCGATATCGTGGTCCATCACCACAGGGACGTACGAATATGTATAATTTCGATGAGTTTTATCGTAGTCATTATAATGATTTTGAATTTTGGGGTACAACAAGAAAAGAAACACAAGAAAGACTTCGACGTGAACGACAAGAAGCAGAACATCGACGTCAACAAAAAGCTAATCGTAGTACAGTATCAAAAGTATCATCAGTAGCTATTTGGTTTAGTGTTGGACTTTTTGTTCTTTTCATATCAAATATATTACATGATATGCATTTTCAACGACCAGCTGATGAACTTCGTTCGAAATTTTACATCATTCCGAAGTCATCTACTAATAAATCACATCAAGAGTCATCCACGAAGTCTTAAAAAAAATGCTTTTCTTTTGTTTATTGAATAATATAAAGTTGTAACTTATTTTTATATTGACAATGAAATATATGAAACTACCTATTTGTTTTCTCATTTATTTTCTTCTTTTATATTATTGAAAATCTAAAATATTTTCTTTCCGTATACTAGACATGAGTTAGGCCAGTCAAAGTTTGTTCTCTGTCCCGATCCAATCTCAGTAATTTATTAGTCAATGATTAGCAATTTTTGAGTCATTTCTATTGGATTGTGTTCTAATTGATATGATTTATAAGATAATTTTGTTTAAAACTATCGAATATTTAACTATAATCTTTAGTTCTGATTGAGACAACTTGTTTCTAGCAGTCCCGATCCCGCACTTATCTTGTGGTGACAATATGACATAATTCATATCTACCAGATACTTATTTTTTAAGCATGAGTGTCTAACACAAGCTAAGTTTGTGACTTGAACTAAAAGATTTTTCTTTCTGAATTAATTGTAAGTTTTTGAATTTTTATTATTGAAATCGGCCAATTAGTGTCATTTAAATAGAATACATTTACTTTTTTGTTGACTAAAAAATGAGAATTTATTTGTATGTGTTTATCTATTTAAAACATGATTCACATGATCATGTAACATGCTTTTGAATATTTACATGTTTAATAGAAGTCGTAGTTACTGAATAATATGATCTGAATCTTTTAAGTAACAAGGTTGTTTAATATAATTAAACAACAATATCAATTTCTTATAATTGTATCAGCAGCCTTTGGATTGAGTAACAATGAAAAACACATAGCTATTATGATTTTTAAGACTATTTTCCATAGACTTGTCATGTTATTAATTTTACTTGAGTACTGATTTCATTAATGAACTTTTATAGTTACATGCGACTATATTGATATATTTATTCATTCAGTTCAGGATCAAATGAAGGAACACGTGATGACCATTATGTATGAATGGTTATCACATGTTTATAAAGAAAAAGAAAGTAAAATATAACGAAAAGATATTTAATTCATGACTCGTTGATCTTCTTTAATTTATCAGGCTCTTCAATATATATATTTTAAACAGAAAAATATGATCAATATCATTTGTGTTGGTAAACTATTTAGACTCTCGTAATAATCAAACTTGAGTTAACCTTTGATTGGCATACATAGTGAGATAGTTAGATCGATCTTTTCTTTGTTTACTATATATAATAAGTAGTGTTATAATGTCAATCGTGTTCTGAAAAACTCTTCTGTAAGATAGAATAGATTTTTTTAATGTTTAATATTTTCACAGAAGATTATTTTTTCTCTCAGAATATTCTAATGGTCAAAAAAATTTGTTGTATAAGCCTGAGTTTTACACCAAACTTCGATAAAATAGTCAAAACTCAAGAAAGAAGCATAAAAACAAACGAATTTTATAGATTTATATTAGTTTCATTAAATTCTATTAATAGATAAATAAGAATTCGCTAGACAGTTGAAATTTACACCTAAAGTAAGCAAATTTATACATTAATCTTAATACCAATATATCATAGATCTAACTATATCTTTTGTTTCTATCAAAAAATTATTTATTTGATATTATTTAACAGTCGAAAAGATACTATTTTTATTAACTATTTAGAAAATTTTTGATCATAATTTCTAATTCTAGATTATTCATGGTTAAAACAAATAAAATTCAAAGTATTTCATATACTCTTGATGAATTACGTTCAATTCGATCATCTGTTGATCAATGTCGTTCTTATTTAATAAAATTTATTGAACAATATAAATCAATTAATTTATTAGATATTGAAACACGTTTATTAAATCGTTGTGTTTATAAAAATTGGAATGCACGTCATGCTGAATTTGGTATTCAAGCAAGTCGACGAACTGTTCGTTTACTTGAAAAATATCTTTCTAAACGTGAACAATATCTTGAACAAATTCTAATAGAATTTAAACCAGATAATGTTGAAATACGTTTACCATCACGTGGTACATTTAATCAATTAATTAAAAATCTAGAAGAATCATCATTATTATTAATAAAAATTAAACGTCTATCAAAATTAACTGTTGATCGATTAAGACTTGAATGTTTTCGTGCTAATTATGTTCATTATAATATATTAATGATGTCTCTTTGTTCAAGAATTTATTTTTTAGTTTTAGCACTTGATAAAATTCAAAAAGAATTTTGTTCTAATATTAAACAATTCATTAAAATATTCAAGAAAAAAACTAAAGAATAATACTATTCGTTATTATGTTTTTTTTTTCAGATGCCTCTCTGTCTTGATTATGCTCGCTTTTTAAGTAAAGCAGCTGCACGTAGACAACCAAGTGCTATTCGAGAAGCTAGTAAGCATTTATTTATAATTAGAGATGTAAGCCTATCAACTGAACCGCCACCGGAAGCATAAAAATAGAAATTAGATATTTGTAGAATTTTTAATATTCCAGATCAATGTTCAGGAATATTCTTATCTAGTTTTATGCTATCATGTTCTTCACCGGTGTTGTATTTTGTTGTCATTTCAAAGTTTCATAGACCTTAGAAAATTTTAACAAAAGAAAAGCACCGGGAACTGTCAACTACCGATGACGCCGAAAGTTTTTCTTGCCGACGATAACAACGCCCGAAGGTCTTCATAGCCGTCGCCGCTGATTAGTTCATCGGCTTACATTTCGATTTATAATTAAATTCATTTACATAATCAATATTTTAGCTCAATTATTTGCACGATCACCACCTTCAACTATTAGTTTTGCATCAGGAAGTCCTAATACATCTTTATTTCCATTTAAAGAAGCAACCGTTACTTTAATGTAAACCTTCTGTTTTTTTTTTTGTTTTAATAAGGAAATATAATTATCTTTTTTGTTCTTTATAGAGATGGTTCGAACGTTCAATTAGATACTTCTGCTATGTCTAAAGCATTACAATATTTACCTACACCTGGGTAGATATCTTTGTAATTTTGAGTATATTTCATTAGTTTTTTTTATGATTGTTTTTTAGACAAGCAGATTTATTAGAATGGTTAAAAAAACTACAAAATAGCTATCATTCTCCAAATGATTTTAAACGATATGATTTATGTATAACAAATGGTTCAATGGAAGGATTAAGCAAAGTTTTTGAACTTGTTCTCAATCCTGGTGATCCAATTTTAGTTGATTCACCTTGTTATTCAGGATCTTTAGATTTTGTATATATTTTTAAAAAACAATTTTTGTTTTTGTTCGATTGATCTTTTGTGTTTAGCTTCGTGGCTTTGGCGCTGATATTATTAGTATTGATACAGATTCTAATGGTATGAATGCTGAAAATTTAAATAATACTCTTTCAAATTGGTCCACGGCAAAAAATTTACCTAAAGCTCTTTATACAATTCCAAATGGTTCTAATCCAACAGGAGCATCAATGAATTTAGAACGAAAAAAGGCTATTTATGAGGTAAAAATTTCAAAAAAAAAAAACAAAAATTGATTTTATATTTTCGACTAAATTCATATTTCAATTTTTTTTTGTTTTTATTTATTTAGATTGCTAAGAAATATAATCTTTTAATTATTGAAGATGATCCATATTATTTTCTACAATTTACAGTAATAAATCAATAAATATTAAAAATTATTTTTCATAGAAAATAATTCTAGAAACCTGCACCATCATTTTTATCAATGGATATTGATGGTCGTGTTATTCGACTTGATTCTATGTCGAAAGTTTTATCAGCTGGGTAAGATTAAATTGATTAGTGAAAAAAATAAACAAGAAAATGAATCAATTATTTATATAGAATGCGTCTTGGTTTTGTTACTGCACCAATACCATTATGGCAAAAATTAGTTTATCATCAACAAGTAACAAGTATGCATGCAAGTTCTCTTTCACAAGTAATTTTTTGTTGTTTTTTTTTTGATAGAAAAAAAAAGAAAAGAAATTTTTAACAAAGTTTTTTGATGTTTATTTATTAGATGTTAGCATTGAAATTATTCGAAAAATGGAATTTATCAGGATTCAATGAACATACACAACGGTAATAATTATTAAAAGAATTTTTATTGATTAATTTTTATATGTTGTAGTATTTCAAAATTTTATCAAAATCAAAAAACATTAATGGTCAATGCTATTAATAAACATTTAAAAGGTATATTTATTTAAAGAATTTCAAAATAAATTTCTATTTGTTTTCTTCTTCTATCTCTTAACTTTTTTTTTTAGTAACGAAGCTTTGAGGAAACATCATTGGAAATCCGTAATAGATTAAGATAATGTGATGGAAGATGACATTTTTTGTCAGTTTAGTTAATTGAGATATTGATTATTTAACCTTTGCATCATTTTTGAATTAATTTGTTAAGTATTTTTTATTTGTCCAAAAAATATTCTTTCATGATAGACTCATTATTAGTTATAAGAAAAGTTGTTTGTTTTTGTCATATTCAATTTTAATTTGAATATAATAATAAATATTTAGGTATGGTCACATTTAATGAACCAACAGCTGGAATGTTTATATGGTTAAAAATCAATGGTATTGAAGATACAAGAAAACTGATTTATGAAAAAGCACTTAAACAAGAAGTATTACTTTTACCGGGTAGTGCTTTTTTCTTTGATCAATCAAAGTCTTATCCATTTGTTCGAGTTTCTTATTCACTTTGTACACCTGAACAAATTGAGACAGTAAAACTATTTATTATTATTATTAGTTTTTCTTATAAATTTATTTTGATTTTAATAGGGTATGGCACGTTTTGGTAAAGTTCTTCAAGAAGAATTAAATCACTAATAATATAAAAATATTAATGATGATATTATTGGAAAACTCTATTTTGTTTTTCTTCTGTGAACGTTTGAAAAATCATCAAAAAAAAAAAAAAATTTTTTTTAAATAAAAATAGAATGAACTTCTTTTGAAACAAAAAATTTTTATTTGAACATTATTGTCACCAAAAAAGAAAAGGTATTCAATAGATCTTTACGATCACTG